GCCCAGCTTTCATCTTTCAGTCGTTTTTGCATTACCTCTAGGCTTACCAGGCCCATGTGGACTTGATATAAAAGGAAGACTTTCCCCAAGCATATGTAACATGTTAAGCTTTAGGTTCACAGTATCTCTTGTGTGTCCTTATCTGTGCATTTTGGAACAATTGCACTCGGGCTATAAAGAAGCTACAGCTTCTCAAGAGCTGCTGTGCAGAACAGGCAACTAATGTTAAATGCATGTGAAATTACAGTTTTTGCAGCTTTACCATCGCATGCCTGGTGTGCACGTGTCTGTACACCTGCTGTGTTACCACCATGCTCCTGGTAATGCTGGGAGCAGGAGCTTGGATTTAGGAGGGTTAAGTGAGGATCTCCTGGCCAGTGCAGGCAGCACCCCAGGAGTCCACGGTCCGGCCCCGTCACAAGCGGGTGACTGGGTGGTTTTATGCTTCCACGCTCAGTGGTATTTGACAGGAGCACTTGCTTTGTTCTTTGCAGGACAAGCTTTACCAAGAGGAATATCAGTTTGTCTCAACAGAGGAGCAGAGAGAAGAGATTTCCAAAAAGCTTAGCGAGGCATCCAGTTGGATGGAGGAGGAGGGTTATGCAGCTGCAACTAAGGTACTGCTTTGTGTATTCAGGATGCCAGGCGCTGTCCCTGACGTGGAAATGACCACACAGGCTGACTGAGGATCGATCCACCTTGATCCTTTGTAGTCTGTTTTTTGCAAGCTCTTGTTTCCCCTGTGCGTTATGCATAGAACAAAATACTAAGTTCTTGCAGCCATGTGTGCATCTGGAACAGCTTCAGCAGTAACCTGTTCACTCTGCATACAGCTTAGTCGCATGGCACTTTTTACTGTAGTGAAATAGTGTATTTGATAGAATGAGAAAACCGGCAGTTTTAACTTCTGGGGCTTACAGTGTTAGACAAACTGATTTGTCTCCTTTCCCCTCTCCCCTGTTTGCAGGATCTGAAAGACAGGCTTTCAGAACTGAAGAAGCTTTGTAGGAACCTCTTCTTCCGTGTCGAGGAAAGGCGGAAGTGGCCGGAACGCCTTGCTGCCCTGGAAAGTCTGCTCAACCACTCAACCATCTTTCTCAAGTAAGAGCAAGCTGCTGGGAAGGAGAGTTGTGCAGCTGGTAATGTAAGCGATGCCAACAGAATGCAGCTGGATTGAGCATGGTCTGAAAAAGGTGACCAAAACCTTCCTTGCTAGTGCTGAGTTGTGCAGGACCTGTTTAAACTAGGGAATGGGATGTCTCCACTTTACACACTGTTTGCAAGCAGATTTTTCCCTCTTGGTCTTATGGCCTTAGCCTTTCCCTGTTTTTCTGGTCTCATGATAGCTGCATTTGCTGGCTCTGTGTTCCATTCTTAGCATCCAGAGATCGGTTAGGACTGTGTTTCCTGCAGATGCAAGAGACATAAATGTAAAATGGACTAATTGCTTGGTGTGTGCACTGGTATTTCTCTTACTGTACTTACCAGAGCTGTAAACACTTGAGTTGCCCAGGTACAGTCTGTTGGGTTTTACAAAAATAAACTTCTTATCTTTAAGGGGAGCCCGAATGATCCCGGAGTCTGACCAGATATTCACAGAGGTGGAACTGAGTACCCTGGAAAAAGCCATCAATGAAACAACGGTAATGAAGGATCAAACAATTCCTGCGGAGAGTGGTGGGGGCAGTTTGGGTTCTGTTTCCTGTCCTGTCCTTCCACTGAAGGCCATGGGATAGGGTGTGCACATTTTGTTTCTTTGCCACCAGCAAACCTTTTGTGCATTCTAGCGTTTTCTAATGCTCAGCTTGACCCCAGACTGCTTTGGAGGGATAATGGGTTTTGAGTTGCATGTCGAGAGTTATCTCCAGGAGTCGTGGTTACCACTGTACCCAGTTACAGGCTTTAAAAGCAGTCGCTGGGTTTTGAGGGGTTTATTTCTTCGTTTTGCCCCACCTCTGGGTAACTAAGAAGCTGGTGGAAGTGTAGCAGGGAGCAGTGTTATCCTGAGTAAGTTAGAAGGTCCAGGAGCGGTGACTTTGGCATACTTTGATATACAGGGGTTCCTGGAACCCAAAGGATTTAAAAGCACTTTTTCCTGTCGTTCCTACAGATCTGGAAAAACGAGACGCTGGCTGAACAGAACAAGCTCTCTCCCACTGAGAAGCCTGTCCTGCTGTCCAAAGATATAGAGCTCAAGATAGCAGCCCTGGACAGGGAAGTGCAGTATCTCCTGAATAAGGCCAAGTTTGCAAAACCCAAGCCCAGAAAGGAGAAGAACATGACGAAAACCGATTCAGGCAGGAATGCTACAGCAGCCTCTGAGCCCGAGAGCACTATCCCTCCCACGGAGGGGAAACAAGAAGGTAAGGAGCAGGTGGGGGACGTGTATATACTTCTCTTGTGGTTTAAACCCAGCTTGTAACTCAGCAGCATGCAGCCGTTCGCTCACTCCCCCCCTCCCCATCCAGGGCAGGATGGGGAAGAGGATCAAAAGCAAGTAAACCCCACAGGTTGAGATAAGAACAGTTTAATAATCAAAATAAAGTAAAATATAGTGATAATAGGAATAATGCCAACAATGATGATAATAGGAGAAGCAATAACAGCTCAGAAAATACAAGTGATGCACAGTACAATTGCTCACCAGCTGCCTGAGCAGCGATCAGTCCCTTCTGGGTGAATCCCCCCCAGTGTAACACGCTCATATCTCCAGTGAAACGGAGCTAAATAAATGAGGACAATAGTTAACTGTGGGAATAAATGATTCTCTTAATTTTCAGAGATAGCTGGGGATATCTAGCTGTGGCAATGTCCTTTTCCCCTCACCATTGGCTTGGGTGCTTTTCTGTGAAGGAACAGAGAGTATTTATAAACTTCCTGGGAGGGTTAATCAGTATCTGTCTCGCTGGCTGGCTGCCTTAGAAGAAGGATATGCCATCAGTTGTGTTCTGGGTGTCCAGAGCCAAGTATTCATGTCCTGTCCTATGTCAAAGAATAGAAAGAGGAAGGTTTCTGGCTTAGATGGACCCTAGACAAGAAAAAAAATCTCTTGGGACAGGAAGACTTCGTGAACTGTGTCAGAACCCTGGGTTCTGGGCACGCTGGTCCTTTTACATCTGGCAGCTGTTTGGCAGCAGAGGTCCCTGCTGGCTCCTCTGGCCTGGGTACGAGACCCCGCTTGCAGTCACAGCTCCAAAGGGGACTGGCCTTCGTTGTGTAACCAGTGAATCTCCAGGGCTTCCAGGGATGTGAGGCTTGGCAGACAGAGGCAGTGAGAAATGAGGAGCAGTTTGGTGACACCTGAGTGTCACAGAGAGACCTGCTGGGAGAATGGATTATTGCAGTCCCGCTGAGGAGCCGTGGCTTGTTCGTAAACCTCACCGCTGGTGCCTGGAAGTAGCCTGCTCTGTATTCTCTCTTCACTTTTGTTTCTTTCTGCTTTAGATGTAGACAAACCTGAAGATATTGGTCCAGCTGTGGAGCCTCCTGCAGCTGAGCAAGTAGCGATAGACAGCGAGCCTGGATCAGACTCCGGTGGGTAAATGTTTGACTAAGCCTGAAACTCGGTAGCTACAAGGGCAAGCTGTCCGCATGCTTCTTCCCCTAGTTTTGGCTGTAGGAGGCAGCAGGGTGGTAGAAGCCCCAGTTGCAGATTGGTTGTTAATTGTGCAAGGAGGAAGACACGAATTTGGGTTCCTTACTGTTCCCCTCTTCACAGTTCAGCGTAAAGGTCTGGCCTGCTGCTGCCTCCTGCCCCAATAGCCCGTGTGGCTGCAGTTCATAGCCAGCCCTGCAGCTGCGTGCCTGCCTTTGCTGAGGAGCTGATGTGCAGGCACGTGTTTGTTCTGCCGTGCCTGTTGTGAGGACAGCAATGTTCTCAGCAGGAGGGCAGGAATGGCTTCAGCGCTTTGGAGCTGAGCGTCAGTCCCCAAAGCTCGGTGTGTTCGTGGTGAACGCCAGGGCCTGCTTTGTACGCTGTAAACGCTTGCGGTGTGTGACTTGAGTTTACTTCATTACACAGGGTTCAAAGAAGAGAAGAGAGAAGCTGGAGGAGAGAGCAGGAAAAATGATGAGTTATAACACCCCTGAGATCCCACTAGTGTCAACAGCTATTTATTTCATGGTTACTTTCTTGTTTTTATCACGGACCTGGCTAGTCATGGTGTAAATGGAACACAACAACCAGTCTGACAGCACAGTGGGATAGAGATGTACATTTTTATTTCCTTTCTGGGGATTTTGCCGCTACTAACTTAGTGAACTGGGGAGTTTTTTGTTTGTTTTCGTTTTCTTACGTGTTTCAGGGTGGCTCTTTGCCTACTGAGAATTGTCTGTTTCCATGCAGAAGTCACCAAAGTGACTTTGCTGTGGAGAGAAAGCCGGAAAGGAACATGTTGAGCTTAGGGAGTAACTTGGACCACAAACTCTGTGCCACACCCCTTCTAGCGAAGATAAATGGGATCCATGCGGGAGCGTTTGTAGCTGAGATGGTGGTGTCTCTCATGCGAGGCTCTGGCTTAAAGGGACCGTGTGATTCCAGTGCTGGGGGTGTTTTCTCATTTGGACTTGTTGGAAGGTGCAGCAGACGCGGGGGGGGGCGGACGCTCGGTGCTGCACGATGCGAGTGTGTGTTTTCCGCAGGTGGGTGTTAAAGCCATCTCTATCCATGCGCTGTAGCGGAGTCTGAAACCCGGGGGCTGACAAAACGCTTGTGTTTCGAGTTGGTTGTAAAATAAAGAGTTGGGAAGGGGCAGCGCTGGTCGTGCATGGGCGCGGGGCGGAGCGCGGCGGCGGCTCCGGAGCAGCACGGGCACGTTTCGGGGCTGCCCCGCCTGCCGCGGGCGGCTCCGCCGGGCCCGGAACGGAGCGCGGCGGCCAATGGCAGCGGCGGGAAGGACGGACCGGCGGTGATTGAGGTGAGCCGCGGGCAATGGAGGCCGGGCCGGAAGCGGGGCGCGGGGCGGGTCTGGGCGGCCAATGGGAGCGCGGTCCGGCGGGAGGGCGCTGCGGGACGCGGCCGCTCTCGGCGCTGCTGCCGGTCCCGGGGTCGCCGCGGCCGCCGCTGCCCGGCAGCGGAGCAGCGCGGCGGGATGGCGGCGGGCGGGTACGGGCGGTACCGCGCCGTGATCTTCGCGGCCATGTTCGCCGGGTACACGCTCTATTACTTCAACCGCAAAACCTTCTCGTTCGTCATGCCCGCCGTCATGGCCGAGGTGCCGCTGGGGAAGGACGAGCTGGGTGAGTACGAGGACGAGCTCCCCCGTGCCCCCGGCCCGCTGCTCGCTGTAACGGGCTCTCACGGGCGGGCCCGCCGCAGGTCTCATCACCAGCAGCCAGTCCGCGGCGTACGCCATCAGCAAATTCGTGAGCGGCGTCCTCTCGGACCGGGCGAGCGCCCGCTGGCTCTTCTGCTCCGGGCTCCTCATGGTGGGCTTGGTCAACGTGGCCTTCTCCTGGAGCTCCACCGTCGCGGCCTTCGCGGGGCTCTGGTTCCTCAACGGCCTGGCCCAGGGGCTGGGCTGGCCGCCCTGCGGGAAGATCCTGCGGAAGGTGAGCGCGGGTGGTGGGGAAGCTGCTCCCGGCTGCTGCTCTGCCGGAACGCGAGCTCCAGGTGCAGAGCGACTCGCGCCTGTGCCTGCCTCCTTCCAGCCACGGAGGTGGCAGCCTCCGGGAGCCTTGTGCCTGCGCAGCGATTGCCCGTGTGTGAGGGTCTGGGTATTGTGGCAAGGGTCCCCAGAGCCGCTCAGCCCGTGCGTGCAGGTGCCTTGATTCTAGGTCTGGGTCTCGTTCGGTTTGAGAAGTTCGCGTCTCGTGGTGGCAGACTTTCTGCACTGCGAGAGATGCGCGCTGTGGGAATCCAGCTTGAAGGCAGAGGTCTGCCTGTCTCTCCGCTGTTGTGGCAGTTTGCTGCTGGGCAAAGGGCGCTGAGCAGAATTCCAGCTGCACGCTCGGGGAGCTCGGGAATTGCAAACCGCGGGCTGTCCGGGTAGGAAAGCGGGTAACGCGTGGAGGAACAGCGGGAGCTGAGCCTCCAGCTCCTGTGTGTGTTTGGGATCGGGTTGCTTGGCGCCTTTGGGCAGAAGGCAGGGAGGTTAGCTGCGTGTGTACCTCTCTGGGAAGATGTAAAGCCCAGGAATGCACGTGCTTGCAGGATAGGGGGGGATTGACAACTGCCCTGCTCATCTAGCTGGCCAGAAAAGAACTGTCCAGAAAAGGACACACAAAGGAAGGGCCCAAATCACAGAAACAACAGAGTGTGGGCTGAAGACGTGTGTGAATGGAGCTCTCGGACGTTTTCCTGCTGACAGCAGCCACCGCAGCGGTTCTGGCTCTGAGAGCACATTGCAATGCAGAGCTGATCGTGCCTGGTTCTTAGCAGGGAGTCCTAAAGTTGCCCTGTGACTCCCCGCGTATCCGTGTGCAGTGTTGTGCCAGCAGACCTCTCCAGGAGGACACTGTTCCTGGCAAGGGGGTGTGCAGAACCCTGTGCTCTCCAGTTTGCCTCTCCCGGACCAGGTCTCAGTTTCATGGTCTGTAAATGGCAACACCTTGGAGCCATGTGGGGTTCCTTGCAGGACTCACAGTGGGCGCTGCCTTTACCTGGTTCTATGGTTCTATGGGTGCTTGCAGTGCCCCAGACCCGCAGTGTGGGTCTCAACCGTGGGTTTTCAGGCACGGTGTCACTCTCTTCCTCAGATCTCATGCCCTTTTTCTTGTTGTTGCACAGTGGTTTGAGCCGTCGCAGTTCGGGACGTGGTGGTCAATCCTGTCTACAAGCATGAACTTGGCTGGAGGCTTAGGCCCCATTGTCGCTGCTCTCGCGTCCCAGAACTACGACTGGCGTGTGACCCTGTCCTGCTCCGGCTTCATCTGCGTGGTTGTCTCTTTTGTTTGCCTTGTCCTCATTAAGAACGAGCCATCGGATGTGGGGCTGCCCAACATTGACCAAGGAGCCAAGAAAGGGAAGAAAGGTGAGCAGGAGGCTTCGCTGTAACCGGGCACCCATGGTGCCTTTGGCGTGTATTCCGGCACAGGCGCGCTGCTCCCGATGTCCTGAGCCCTCCATCCTTCCCAACTCCCACAATCACCACGTGGTGGGCATGTGCAAAGCCCCGTTTTCAGCAGATTTATTCTGAATGCTGAAGTTCTAAACCAAGCCCAAGTGTAATCTTACAGGAAGGGGACTGGGTCTGGCTACAGCAGCACAACAGCAGGGAATGCTTCCTTGAGCCTGACCTGCCTTTCCACGCTGGCAGAGGAGAGGCAGATCTCCCCTTACCCTGTGTAGGTTCTCTTGACCCCTGGCTTGCGGTGGACTCTGCTCAGGGTTTTGTGTTCTAGCCTAGGACAGCTAGTTAGTAAATGTTTGTTCAGACCACTGAGTACGGTGCTGTTCTGAAAGCAGAACAGGTAGAGGGGAATTGCAACACGAGTTTGCTGCAGGATTTGAGAGACCGGTGGAAACTCAGCCTATGTTCCCCACTGTCCTGCAATGCCCAGACTTGACCTCTCTGTGTAAGAAAGCAGTATTGCTTCCCAGGAGCCTTTTCTGGGGAGGATGGGTTACGATTGTAGGCGCTTCTCACAGACTGAAGCAAAAATCGAGGGAAGACCTGAAAGCCAGCATCTTGGCTTGGGTCTATGTAGTGGCTGTCACAGGCACTGCTGAAAACATTAGCACAAAGTCTGGAGGAGCAGACAATTTCCCTAGCAACCTCTGCAGAGGGTTTACTGGCAGCCGCAACACAGAACGTTGCTGGGAGGAGTGTTTTGATTATTCTTTTGAAATCCTGAATGAATGTGGAATAAATTGACAGAAAAGATTCTGGAATCACAGCAAACCCAGAACAAGGGGGAGGTAAAGCCATTCATTTCCTATGAATATCTCTCTTTATGAATATCCTCCTCTGTACGGATGTCCTTGTGCATGAATCCCGCTCGCAGATCTGTAGTGCCGCTGAGCTGGTGTGCTTCAGGCTGTGGTAATGTTCAAGCAGTGGTAATGCTCTTCCTGATCTTCCTCGAAGGTTCCTCCAGTGACAACAGCACTTTGACAGAGCTGCTGCTCTCGCCATACCTCTGGGTGCTCTCAACAGGCTACCTGGTCGTTTTTGGAGTGAAAACGTGCTGTACCGACTGGGGCCAGCTCTTCCTGATCCAGGAGAGGGGACAGTCCATGCTTGTGGGTAAGATGCGAAGCTGCCTTATTAAGCTCTGTGACTGTTGTTGCCCAGAGCTTGACTGGGAGCCAGAAAAGGACACAGGGATCTCTGCCTGAGGGACTTGCTCCCCTACACCTTAACTGTCTGCATGGGTACATGTAGGTATTGACACCAGTCCTGAAGGGCCCTCTTGGGACTGGCAGACGGGCATCCCTGTACAAGGATGAGCTGGAGGGTCTTGTCCAGCGGAGCTGCTCTGAGCTTGCTGGGAGCTGACAGGGTTGAGCTGAGTCTAAAGCACGCAGCAGCTTCGTTACCAAACCTGATGGCCTGTCCTTTGCTTCACCTGCGTTCTAGGTAGTTCCTACATGAGTGCCTTGGAGATCGGGGGTCTGGTGGGAAGCATTGCTGCTGGATATCTTTCTGACAGAGCAGTAGCAAGAGTAAGTAACCTGGACCCTCGGGTGTGCTGGGCAGTTAACACAGCGTTCATTTAAACTGCTGCAGATTTCCCCCTTCTCTAATATGCACACCAGCAGTGGAGCAGAACGCTTCCCTTGTTCATGTTGCTCTGGAGATTCAGGATACCCAGAATGCAGAGTTATGGAGCTGCTGCCTCATGCTACAGAGCAGCAGCTCTCAGTGCTGTGTTTCTTTCTTCTGTCTTCCCAAGCTGCTCTGATGGAAGCAGTTCTGTGTCTAAACTACCCTGCTCTGAGGTGGGGCTTTTGAAAATCAGAGCATTCTTGACTAACCCATCTCTTCCTTCACTCAGCGGTGGGCTGGGAGGGACAGGATGCATCTCAACAGCTTCAGGAAGGTGCTCAGTCAGGCTGGTGTTGCTGCTGCCTGGTACAGCTGAGAGATTGGCCTGTAGCAGCTCTGCTGGGTGCGTGAGGACAGCTGCCAGACACCCTTTTTGAAGATGTTTGGGTTTAGGATGTTTGGTCTGTTTTACTTGTTGGCTTTCCTGTGCTCTCCACGTTTCCCCGTTGAAGGAGATCTGGTTGTTGACAGCTGTCTTCTGGCAGAAAAAGAACCTGCATTAAAGTCCAGTGGTGGGATCTGAAGGCAAATTCAGGGTGGAAGTAGGGTGCAGTTGATAACAGAAGTATCATTTATCACTAAGAGCATCTTGTTGAGCACAGTTGGACTGCGGGCAAACTGAACTGAATCAAGAAGCCTTGCTGAAAGGTCCACTTTGGCTCACGTTCCGTGTGTCTGAGCGGGCAGTGTGGATGGCATTAGGTACCACCCTTATAAAGCTGGAGTCCTTCCAGCTTCCACCCCCCGTTTCCTTCCCTCTGCTGTAGGTGGGTCTGTCGAGCTACGGGAACCCCCGGCACGCGCTGCTGCTTTCCATGATGGCCGGGATGTGCGTGTCCATGTTCCTCTTCCGAGTCACGGTCACCAGCGAGTCTCCCAAGGTAATCCATGCGTGCGCCGCTGACCGTACCTGGCCAGGGTGGCCTCACCGGGGTGGCCTGCTGGCAGGGAGCCTGTTGTCTTCACCCTTGCCTTGCGGCACAGCGAAGCAACCTCCCTTGGCCTGGGCTGGGCAGCTTCTGCCAAGGTTGGCTTGGGTGGCCTTCGTTACCTGCTGTAGTGTAGACATGGCTTGTCTCTGCCTGCGTGACTGCTGGATAAATGAAACCTCTTTTCTCCTTTCCTTTGTTTCTTCTTCAGGAAAATCACTTCTGGACTGTAGCCTTGCAACCTCTAGCTGACCTTACAGGCCTCAAGGAGCATGAGGTTTCTGCCTTGCATTTTTCCTCCCTCTGCCTGTTTCTGCTTTTGCTGATCTGCCCTTTTCCTGTCCTGGGAGGTTGGTTAGCAGTACAAAGCTTAAAACCAGGGCACTGAGATTACTGTAAGTTTTGTAACGGAAACCTTTTCGTGTAGTCTTTTGATTACACTGACTGACTGTTAAAAGTCTGGATATAAAACTTGTAAATTCTTATTTCAGAGGTTCGGAGGACATTTGCTCCTCAGTTAAAATGCAGCCAGTTAAGGAGTCCTGCGAGTGGGCTCACAAGGAATTATCCTGCTCCTGCATATGCCTTCCTGCTTGCTTTTCTGCAAGTGTTTTCCTAACTTTGTTTCTGTTTCCCATCTGGAAAATAAGATGGCATTTACTTACTTCTGCACGTCTTGAAATGGTGTTTGTAGTTCAGAAAGCATGCTGTAACCTTGAGGAGGGCAATTACCCTTTGCTGTCCTTTCACACGTGAAAAACAGGTAGTTTTTTCAGAGCGTGAACTAACACTGAAGTTCAAGCTGTCAGGGTTTTTTGGGTTGGTTTGTGTTTCTTTAGTAACATAGAGATTGTCAGATGGTGGCTTCTTGCAAATACAGGTGCTCTGACCGGTCACTCACATCTCAGATGAGAAAAGCTTTTAGCTGGTGACTCCAGGGTCGTTTTAAAGTGACCCGATCCACACCTCTCCTGCGGTTTTGCCCATCTCTCCTCCACAGTCTGGTTCTCATGCAAAATGGCTCCTGTTGTGTGAGCACAGGGTAGGGGCAGAACTGTGGGAGAGAGGGGGGTTCACGGTGGCCGAGAGCACCACATGGGGGCTGTCACAGGCTTGAGCTCTTCTGTCAGCAGGTCAGGGAGTCGGTGTCAGCCCGAAAATGTCAAAACTTCCCCGTACCGCGCGCAGCATCTCGGTTGGTCAGCAGCTGCTGACTGACAGGGGAGGGTGCACGGATCCTGTTTCTGATCTTAACGTGTTTTCACAGCTGTGGATCCTGACCCTGGGAGCTGTGTTCGGGTTCTCCTCGTACGGGCCCATCGCCCTGTTCGGGGTTATCGCCAACGAAAGCGCCCCTGCCAACCTGTGCGGCACCTCCCACGCCATAGTGGCCCTCATGGCCAATGGTGAGTAGTGCCCATTTTCCTGAAAACCAAACAAAACCCACGTGTGTTCTTGCTGGAGCATTGCCCACCGCTGGGTGCCAAGCTCCTGGTCATGGGAAGCCTCCCAGGAAACGGAGGCCATAGAGCTGGAAGCCTCAGGGATGCTTCTTGCTGTGCCTGATGGGTTTTGCCTTGCGCTTGAAGTTCAGACCATGCCTGAGAAATCTTTACATGTGCAAACCCGAGTATCAGCAGATCAAATTGAGACACAAGCATTGCTGGGTTTCTCTTTGTTTCTCCTTGCAGTTGGGGGGTTTCTGGCTGGACTACCCTTCAGTACCATTGCCAAGCACTACAGCTGGGCCACAGCCTTCTGGGTAGCCGAAATCACCTGCACTGGCAGCACAGTGGCTTTCTTCTTACTGCGCAACATCCGCACCAAGATGGGCCGGATTCCCAGGAAGGCTGACTGAGGAGAAGCTGCTCGGTGAAAAGGAGCCTCTCTCACCGACGGGAATGATGCTTGGATTTTTGTTTAACTGGAGTGAGTTTACCTATTGCTGCAACCTACATAAAAGTATCTCAATTTCTCATTCACTGTCAGGTGCCAGAGGGCACAAGGTTCTTGCTGCTGATCACTTTTTCCCTCAAGATGTGATAATTCAGGTAGTTTACACGGGCAATGATTTTGCTGCACCTCCTCACAGCACTGCTGGGGAAGCACCCAGGCTTTGCAGCCTGAGCTCCTCTGCTAAAGGGACTCTGAAATGGCTGGCTTCAGGTGCTGTCACGTTGAGTTTTGTCCCTGCTGTTTTTCTCGGCCATTAACTTTTTGATTCTGCTTCGCTCTCAGCCCTGGAGCAGCGACAGCAGTGAATGATGATGATTAGAGCTGGGCCTCATGGCTCTTTTGAGAGCAGCGTGGCTTTAGCTTGACCCAGGATTAGTTGTTAGGAGAGATGGAGGTGTTTTGCTCTGGAGAAGTGGAACGCTGGTGTGGTGCTGCGGCGGGGCTCTTGCAGCACCGGGAAACAGGCACGTTTCCAGGAAACCCTCGGCACTTTACGGGAGAGCATTCAGAGAAGCTCCTTCTATTGAAGTGATCCTGCCTGGTGCAGTTTCTGTGTAATGATTTGCAAGGGAGGCAGCTGCTGCCATGGCAATGTGCAGCCAGCGCTCTGCCCGTCAGCCTGGAAAACCCACGCAGCAGCAGGTATTGTGACAGCAGCTGCAGGGTTTTTCCAGGTCTCTGGAAAAACACCTATTTTTAGTGTTGGCTTGTGTTTTGTTAGTACACAGAGTGTAGTCTAGGGTGGTTTTGGTCAAGAGCTGCATCTCTTATGGCTGTGGGCATGGCCTTGGGCTACTTCCGAGTCAGCCTTAGCAGAGCCACCACTGGCAGCCTGCAGCACTTGGGGCCCAGCACTGTTTGCAATGAATACTCAGGTTTTCAACCAGGATTTAGTTGAATACTCTTGGCTTTCCCCAGAAGGATTTACTGCTTTAGGACTCTGGAAGAGGCAGTTCTCGTGCAGAACGTGCACGCAGGTACTGTGCTGTACAGCATGGTTGCAAGAGTAGGTAGCCAGCCTTAATTAAAACGGTGGAAGTGAATTACATTTTGTACTTAATTCCCTGATCTTCTATGTGAAATAAAAATGGAGCAGTGTCACAAGGGCTGTGGTTGTCTTAGGGAGAACGGCGCAGGCAGAACCACCCAAACCTGCTTATCCTCTTGGGGTGCTACTGGCACAAATTTACCCTGCCAACAGAAAACAGCCATCCACTTCTTCAAGGAACATTTATTACTCCTGCATAGAAACCCTTTGCAAAACCATAAGTTAGAGCTATACAGGAAAAATACGTATGTACAGTTCTGAAATGAAAGCAAGCAATCAGCTGCACTAATGCCACGGACCCACGCCTCGCTGCCTTTCTTCACTCGAGGGCACAGCAGAATAAGCCTCTGTGGTCGTGTGTAAACAATCCTGACTAATCTTTTGCAGGTAAACCTCACAACCGGGGGATAAACGAGTATCTTGGGAGATAGTGGAGCACATCTGGGGGCTTTGCAGTCTCTGATGTGAAGGAGAGGCCCTGCTCTTCAGGGAGAGAGAAGAGTCAGTGCAACAGGGGAGGCTTTCTCTATGACCCGGGTCCGAAGGGTCCGGCTTTCTCTGCCACCTCCAGAGCAAGTTTCAAGTTCTGATCAAACAACTCGCATCTGTAACAGAAAAGCAGAAGGGGGTGACTTTACCTATGGAACAGGCTAACAGAGGCAGGATCTCCACATCCTTCAAAGAGAGATTCCCGAAGTCACGAGACCATGGCCTGCTGCTATCAGACTTTGACCTGGCCATTACTTAAGGTTAAAGCTTCTCGTATGGGCTCAAGTGTGACATTAGGGCAGCAGGGTTTGTGCCAAGGAGGAGTGGCTCCCACTTCCCCAGGAGAGCAGTACCAGAAGGAGCACAGGTCAGTGCCCTGCCCCTGCAGCCATGTGCTGTGTCCTCCCCTTCCCTCAACCCCTGGGTCTGCTCTGCCACAAAGCAGGGGAGCTGTCAGCATGTGTTACCGCACAGGCAGAGTGAGGAGGGGTGGCAGCTGCACTATCAAAAGCGGGCTTTTCTCTACCTGATGGGCATCTCCAGGGAGTAGAAAGGATTCTTCAAGGCGAAGTCAGAGTAAATCTCGTAGATCTTGCGCAGAAGGGAGTCTATCCCCGCCTGCCTCGGGTCGGCGAGAACCACGAATTTGATCCCTGGAGCCATAAAGGCAGGGGGTCAGGAAGGCTGCGCTCCGTGACAGCCCTGGCCAGGCCAAGCGGTGCTGTGCCCGGGGCTGAGCTGTACCTGTCAGCGTCTGGAAGCAGTGCAGCTTGAAGGTGTCTGTCTCCAGCATCTCGATCCCGGAGCTCCCGATCTCGGGGGACAGCTGCGACCCGATGGCGAACAGCCTGTGGGGAGAGGGGTCCTCAGTGCCCCCGCACCCTCCGGCCCTGCCCCCCGGCCCCGTCCGTCCCGCGCAGCTCACGAGTGGAACATGGAGGCCAGCATGAGCTTCTCGTTGGAGGAGAGGCGGTGGCGGCCGAAGCGGATGGACACGGGGTAGTTGGCGGGGTTGCCCAGGAACTCCAGCACGTCCTTCCCGTCCGCCGTGAAGCGCCCGTTGACCTCGGCGCCGTTGATGGCCAGCACGGCATGTCCCACTGCGGGGACAGCGCGGGGTCAGCCCGGCCCGGCCCGGCCCGCTGCCCCCGGCCCGCCCGCCCGCCCGCCGACGCACCGCGGATGCCATCGCGCTGTCCGAAGGCCACGACGACGCGCTCGTCGTGCGGGCGCAGGACGAGGTCGAGCGGGAAGCTGAAGGTCTTCTCGGTGTCGGCGCGGGGCGCGTAGTGGTCCAGCTGGTAGATGAGCCCGCCCGCCTTGTTCACCACGTACACGCTGAAGATCGCCATGGCGGCCCCCGCCCGCCCGCCCGGAAGCGGCCCCGCGCCGTGCCCCGGAAGTCGCCCGCGAGCACGGGGTTTCCCCGCGCCCCGCGCCAGGCGCTTCCTTTCCGGGCCGACATCTTGTGGAGCAGCCCCGCCGCAGCATGGTGAGCGCCGGGCGGGCCGCGGCGGCGGGCGGCGGGGCCCCGCGGGGCCGGGGGGAGCCTCCGGAGGTCGCCCCGCTGCCCGCCGCTCATCGGCCGCGCTTCTCTTGCCCCCCCGCAGCCGCCCAAAGACGACAAGAAGAAGAAGGACGCGGGCAAGTCCGCCAAAAAGGATAAAGACCCGGTCAACAAGTCCGGCGGCAAAGCCAAAAAGAAGGTGGGAGCCGGCGGGGAGCGGGGGGGGGCGACGCTGAGTGGCGGCGGGCTCCAGGGGAGGCTTTTGGGCCCTCACCGTGTGGCTGGTGCGTGGCGGGGTGGGGGCACACGGTGGTGGTGGGGGAGCTGCTGCTTCATCGGGCAGCAGAGCCGCGTGTGGTGGAGGCAAATCCGAGGAAGAAAAGGCTGTGGTTTTATGCGGAGCTTTAGGCCCGTCGGTTGGAGATGCTGTAGGTGTTATCTGCGGTGTTTACGTTTATAAAGACGATTCGGTGCGTCTTGTTAGGCCTTTAATCTGGAAGTGATGTGGAGACGTTTGATGGGACATCCTAAAACCGGATCGTACAATCATAGAATGGTTAGGGTTGGAAAGGACCTTTAGATCATCTAGTTCCAACCCCGCCGCCATGGGCAGGGACACCAGGATCTTTCATTATAGTTTAGAAGATGACTTAGGGCTTGTTTTTCTGTTTCCAAGTAGAAGTGGTCCAAGGGGAAAGTGAGAGACAAGTTGAACAACCTTGTCCTGTTCGATAAGGCCACCTATGACAAACTGTGCAAGGAAGTGCCCAACTACAAGCTCATCACGCCTGCGGTTGTCTCAGAGAGATTGAAGATTCGAGGCTCCCTGGCGAGGGCTGCCCTCCAGGAGCTGCTCAGCAAAGGTGAGTGCTCAGAACTGTTGGGTACATTCCTTGCTCACTTGGCAGATCTCGTGCTGCATCTGTAATAGACAAGCGGGTGTGCTTTTGGCAAGCCCCTGCCTTAGCTTGTGTTCCAAAAGTGCTCCAAAGCGAGGAGCAGCAGCTCTGCTGCATTCACTGGTGTGCTGTGCTAAGGAAATGCTGCTCAAAGGACGGGTGGTGACAGAGCTGCTCCCAGACCTGAACAGAAGCCATGCACAAGCACGTGTGATTGGGTGTGCTGGTGCTCCCTCTCACACATTGGCCAGTCTCAGAAGGGAGCACAAGGTCCCTGACCACCAGCACACACGCCCTCAGGTACTTTCCTTTTCTCGTAGGTTTGATCAAACTGGTGTCCAAGCACCGAGCGCAAGTGATCTACACCAGGAACACGAAAGGTGGAGACGCGCCTGCTGCAGGGGAGGACGCGTAGCGAGGAGGTGAGGCAGTGGCTCCACGTGGGAGCCACTTTGTGCTTTGTTGGGAGCTAACACATGGCTGCACCTTGGGCGACTGTGCTGCTTCGGGTGGGCTGTGCCTCTGGGTGTTGAGAGGACATCGCTTGTGCTCCAGAGCAGTTGGTGATTGTCCCTGTGCGTGCTCTCCCATCGGTGTGCTTTCCCTTCTGTCACAGGGCGCTGTGCAAAGCGTTCTTGTTGGAGCAGAGCTTGCAGACCCTTTGTGTTTTGACCTGCTTGTCTGATTTAGGACTTCTTGCCTTGCAGGTTCCCCAGTGGCCCCGTCAGCAATGTGTCCTATGTAGATGCACGCAATAAAATTACTGAAATAATTTTTCTTGCCTTTTCAAGATTGTGTATGTTTCATTATTGGTAGTGGATTCCGGGCCAGGTTATGGCTGCCTTCCTCTGCCAGCCAGTTTTTGCATTTATAGGGTGTTTGCAATGTCTTGTGAACATGCTTTTGTATTGTGAAAGGGAACTTTTGTGTCACCTACAGCAGCCAGCGATGTTAAACCATGTTGAGATGCAGTTGGAGGAAAACTGAAGCCCGCTTCTGTGGCTGGGGAAGGTGCTAGCAGGATATTTTCAGTATTTCTCAAGTTCCTGCAGACCAGCCGTACCCACAAATCTTTGTGCAAGGCAACAGCAGATACCAGGTTAATGTCTCGGGGAAGTGTTGATAAGCAGCTCTAAATAAGGCTAAAAGCATTTTATTTAAATAATAAAAGTTTATTTCTCAAAACCTCATGTGTTTAATGGGATGTGATGCTACACATTCGCACAGGACACATGGCACCGGAGCTGCTGGTGGTGGGACTGCTGCACTGTGGCCAGGCACCAAACGCAACCAGATGTAGGTATTAAATAAGAGCACTAAACTTTGCACAGCAGCACTGACAAAGCTGGAGCTTCCTGCAGTCCACCTTCCCACAACAGAGCTTGTTTTCTTCCCTGCTCCTCTCCTGATCACCTTTTTTTCTTCTTTTCCCCCGATTCAGTTCTAAATTGATGCCTGAAAGACAGTGTAGCAGTCAGAAGGCAGCACCCTTTAGAAAGAGGGAATGAACACTGCCTCACCCCACAAGACAAGTAAGACAGGGCACAGCTTTAGAACAGCAGCTCTGGTTTTGCTCTCAGAGCCGCAGCAGCCTCTCCAGGTAGCTGCCACAGATCTGTAACACACGAGAGGTGCCAGCAGGCCAGTACACGGGTCTGGAAGGTAAGGCAGGCACCTGCCTCTGCAGCCACTGCTGTGCTTAACCCCGTGCCAGGCTGGCATGGTGTGACCCGTGCAGCGAGACCCCTCCTGACGCTGCTGCCAGAGAGCCTGCTCCATGAGTGGCCTGTGTGGATGGAGGCCACAAACCCTGCGCTGCCCTGAAGCTCACCTGGACTGCCACCTCCTGCCGTGGTTCCACACACGCCCGAAGGAAGGGAGCCAGCTGTCGCTGGTCTGAGAGGTATGGTCAAAGTTGGCACCCACGCGCTCGGGGGGCAGCTTCCTCAGCTTCTGCTTCTCCTCTAGAAAAGTGTTTCATTCAGTGAGTTTCTCTGTCGCAGTGCTTTTGGTTCTTTAGTGTGGAAACTTGAATGTGAGGTTAACTGAAACGAGCACAAGCTGCTCACTTTGTTTGAGAAATTCCTCGTATGAAGGTCCAATTTGTTTGCTTCCCTCCTCTTCCTCCTCCTCCTCCTCCATTAGCCATGGAGGTTTTGCACCTAGGAGACACAGATAATGTATTTGGCTACTGTAGTTACCCTAAACTTGTGATGGGGAGAAGCATCCTCCCTTCCCTCATCCCTGCAGCTCTCCCTACCCAGCAAGCACTGAAGGACAAGTAACCCTGGGGCTTTGCTCAGCTGGCAGTGGCAGAACATACCCCACACCGTACGTTCCACACAGCACTGAGTTTTTGAAATACAGAACCTTTCTCTTCTCTAGCATGTCACCTATAAGCAAAGGCACGAGCACCTCCTGCTTGTGCTGTGGCTGCTTCAAAATGACTCGGTTACCCCTGTGATACTGACAAGCGAGGAGCTTTCAGCAGGGCACCACCTGAGCGAGCTGCAGACGCAAGTACCTGTGTGAACGTTCCCTTTCCCTTCTGTATCCTGTCAACAGAAACAGAAAACACTGATGAGAAACTGATGCTTTTAAGAGTGTTCCTAAAGAGACCAGAACTGAAAAGTACTATGTGCGTTCCCTTCCAGAGCCAGGTTCTGTCACAGGAAGGGGGAGGCTTTCCTCTACTTTCTTTAGGAATATTTGTTTTTATAGGGTGTGTTTTAGAACGTTTGCTTAATGAAAGACAGCTTAATGCTGGATGAGTGAAACTCTCTGCTCCTTGCTCGCCTGAATCTGCACAGCTGTGTTTTTTGTGACAGAGTCTGCAACTCCTTGTTTTCCTTCATAACACCCTCTGTACCCCTGTGGTTAAACTGAAGTTGTGCTCATCAGCCAGTCACCCCTACCTGGTGGCCGATGAAGGTCAAAGCCTGGCTGGGCTCCATCCAGTTTAAGTCAGGTCCCATGTGTGTCCCACTTGGGCCAGGCTGCTCTGCATCATGAGAGGTGTCCCTGGAACACAGAGGCAGCCCGAGAGGTGAGTGACAGCTGCAGATGGGTGGACAATACCTGTCCAGAGGCTTCTGGAGCAGAGTTTGTGTCTGTGTTTGGAGAGTTTTGTAGCAAGATGGGAAAGAAGTGTTCTCGGGGTACCATAGTGTTACCACTTTGTGGTTGTCGGTGCTTACACATGTGTGGAGGGGAGAAGAATCTCTGTGATGCTTATGATGGATAAAAGTTTGTGAAGGATCTGAGCGAGCTCATAGCAGCAGCAAACAAATGAGGCCACTGCCACGGCAGGGCCATGGCTTCAAGCGGGGTACATGTGTGGGATGTGGTTCTCACCTCTGGGGTGCTGCCGGGGGGCCATGGGAGGCAGGTCCTGCGCGAGGCTCTGGCTCTGTTTGAAGCTGAGTGTGATTCAGGGAAAAGGAACACTATTCCTGGTGCTGAGCAGCGACACCCCCCTCCATCCGCTCCCACCTCCACCCCCCGAGCGCTCCCGGTTCCGGCGGGGGTGCGTGTCCCGGTGCCCGGTCCCCACCGGGGCGCAGCAGGGCAGGATACGGCTCACCGACCTGCAGGGCGGCCCGCACCGTCTCCCGCTGCCTGCGCTCGGCCTCCCGGATGTCAGCTGCCATCTGCGGGGAGAGCGCGGGTGAGGCGGGGCCGGGCGGGTCCCGGTTCGCTCCGGGGCCGGTCCGGGGGGTACCTGTCGGATGCGCTCCTCCTCCCGCCGCTGGTGCGCGGCCACCGCCCGCTCCAGCGCTCGCGCATAGCGCTCGTACTCCTCGGCCGGCACCACGCACTGCTCCCGCAGCGCCGCCTCCGCCCGCTGCTCCCGCCAGAACCGCGCCGTCTCCCGCCGGTGCTCGGCCCTACGGGACCGGGTCAGCGCCGCCCGCCCGCTCCGCTCCCCTCCCCCCGGCCCCCCCCTCCCCGCCGCCGCCGCTCACCCGGCCAGGTGCTGGAGGAGCGCGGCCCCCGGCAGCGCCAGCGGCCCCCGCCGCCCGTCCCGCCGCACGCCGCGCCCGCAGCACGGGCACCACACGCGCCGGTCGTGCTCCGCCGGGTCGTAGCGCAGCACGGCCGCGCCGCCGCCGCCGCCCTCCTCCTCCTCCTCCTCCCCTGCCGCCGCCGCCGCCGCCCGCGCCGCCGCCACCTCCTCCTGCAGGCGGCCCAGCGCCTCCCGCAGGCGCCGCCGGTGCGCGGCGCTGTACAGGTGCCGGCGGCCCGAGAAGGAGGAGCGGCGGCACAGCGCGCAGTAGTGCACCGCCATGGCCGCTCCGCCGCTCGCACTGCGCAGGCGCGGCCGCGAGGCGGGGCCGGGTGCACGTGCCCCGGTGCCCCGGCCGTGTCCGAAGCCTCCGTTCCCTGCGGGCCGCGCTCGTTTGTCCCGCAGTTCGTGCATGGACTTGCTCTGGAGCCGCCTCCTGCATCCCCGAAACACTGAGCCCGCCGTGTGACGCCGGCTGTCGGGTGCCATCGGCTGATGCCTCCTACCCATCCGCACCTCTGAGCGCATCTGAAGTGTGTGGGGGTTGTGTTCAGTGAGAGCAGGGGATACTCGTGGTCTGCGGGAGCTTTAGACTGGGTATTAGGGAGAATTTCTTCCCTGAAAGGGGAGCCGAGCACTGGAAAACGCTGCCCAGAGCAGTGGTGGAATCATCGTTCCTGGAAGGGTTCAGAAAACCCTAAGATAAGGCCCGTAGTGACATGGTTTAGCGGTGGCCTTGGCGGTCCTGGGGTAGAAGTTGGGCTTGATGAACTTGAATGTCGTTTCCAACCTGATTGATTCTGTAATTCCAGCCTGGCCCGACGGGAGGCGAGCATCAAACTGGAGCCACAAGGTTACCTCAGTGGTGCCATCCAGGGCAGCCGAGGCCTTCAGAGACTGTTCACCTTATGTCAGGTCCTGCTCGGACACACAGACAGACAACCCGTGCTGTCGCATGTGGGACTGACAGCCATCCTGCACTCCTGCAGTGCCTCGGGTGGCATTAGCGCCCAGCGGTGCAGAGCTGCTCTGCAGGGTGGTTTGTATGCTGCTCAGGAAAAGAGGTACCACCCTAATGTGCACATTTAGACTCTGTCAAATCCCTTTTAGTGTGTCTGTTCCTTCGTGCTCCTGTGGACACGCAGGTGAAAGGAGCCAGCCTCCAGCCTAGCAGTGATGTGGATCCCTGCCCACTGGGTTTGCAGTGCGGGGGGCAGGCACGTGGGCTTGGAATAACATCTGTGTGGTAGGGACTCTGCACTCCCAGCCAGGTAAAGCATTCTGTGCCACTGGCCTGAGGTGCTTTGTTAAGACACAGATTAACCTATTCCCGCAGCTCAGTTCTCTGCACTGCAGGAGCGTTGTGAGAGGCAGCAGCGTGCATGGAGGACTTTGTGTTACAGGCATAGCGGGTGCCAGAATGCCTCTGCAACTCATGCGGCTGGCAGAAACTCACCTTAATGAAGGAAATGAAGTATTGACCATCTTTCTTCTGTCCCGTCCACCCCCCTTCTAAATTTGAGTCCTTATGTCACAATGCCCATAATTTCCACATGTGGTTCTTGTGAAGCTACCTGTGGCACCACCTCAGAAAACAGGCTTGGTTTGAAAGCACATGGCCCATCTTTCAGAAGCAGGGAGCCAGAAGGAATCATAGCCCAAACAGAGAGCTCAGCAGATCTGCAAAAGAGAAAGTGAGAAGAAGTTGGGGTAGGTACTTGGGCCAAAACAACTGCTCAGGCACTGATGCTGCAGCCACAGTCCTGTCCCATATTAAACTGCCAGCTATTGCAGGGACTGAGATGACAGGTCTGTGTTTGAAAGCAGCCTGGTTGGCTTTGTCTTGCTGTGTTGGGCTCTTGGCCAGCCCGATGACCGAGTCCTGCTTGTGGAGCATCTCTGCAGGGATCTCCAAGTTTCTGGTGTCACCTCCCAGAGCAGTGTCCCCCAGTGCTGGGGGCTGCATAGTGCTTGGGTGCTCTCCTGCTGCAGGAACCTCGTAAAACCTGATGTGCCCTGCTGTTTGCAGGGCTCCTGCCCTTGGAATCGTACCCGGGTTGCTCATGCTTTGGCACACCAAGTCGAGCGCCTCTTTAGTCAGGGCCTGTGCTTCCTCCTGAAACTTTCTGCATCCTCCTGGAGTCAGTTTCCACAGGCAGGACCTGTGGTTTCCTTTGGCGCCCGTGGAGCTGGTACTTTTCTCGAAGCAGCTGCTGAAGCACAGCTTGTGCCGGATCGTGCTTTTCCAGCCCTTCGGGGCGGTCTGAAAAAATGGGAAGTGCTGCCTGTGGAGAGAAAAGATTTGTCCTGGGCTAAAGCCCTTGGAGGCTGTGATAAATAACAGAACACGTGGAGGGAAGGAGAGGAGGGTCCTCCCCAAGCCCTGCAGTGGGAGGCTGGCTGGTGCACTCGAGACACAGAACTGAAATCCCAGCTCTGGAGACACAGGTTTGGGTGTTGCCAAAGAGGGGAGGCAGTTCCCTCAGCAGCATCTTGAACTGAGGGCAGAGCTAAGACCCAAACGTGAGTCCTGGCTGCCACATCCCTGCTTCCCAGCGGAAGATCAGAGACCCCTGTACCCCTTGCAGTCCCTCTTCCCCTCATTCTGCACTAGGAGCTGGGAGAAGAGCGGGTACCGTGTGAACTGGTAGATCTGCTGTACAGTCAGACTGCCACCCGCACTGTTGCACAGGGCGATGCTGATGAGGGTGCAGTAATTAAGGGGGGGACGGGGCCAGCCCCCCTCAATTTTGGCACTCATCTGCCTGGGGCACTTGAGCTTCATGCTCTGAGGACTGAGGACTGTGGATTTCCAAGGCACCAGCATCATCCTGACTTCAGGACTTTTCGGCATCTCCTGAGGAACTGGGATGTCCACACATGAAGCAGCTTCATCCGCAGTAAGCTGGGGAGAAGAAGGAAAAAAAGAACATGGATTTATTAGCCCTGGGTAGAATGAGGGACAGGGATAAGCTGCTTTGTTCTGGCAGAGAGCTTACAGAAAGCTCATACGCTTTAAATTTCAGCCTCTGTCCCTGCACTTTGTACTCTGAGCCTGTTTGTCAGGCAGGCTCCGTGCATCGGCTGACCGAGGCCGGAACGGGAGCTGCTGAGCCCGCTTGTTGCCCAAGCAGCTCCCTTCTGTGTACCTTTCTAGCCTTACTGGAGGGTGACAGCACATCCTCCTTGGAGCAGTCCAAGTCGGAGCAGGAGTTGTCCCACGATGTGTTCAGAGAGGAGCTTCCTGTGGCACCAGCAACTGAGGACACGAGGCTTTTGGATGTGGCTGGGTCTGATCCAGGGCTCCCAGGAAGGGGACAGGCCAGGCTGGGGTTTACCCACATCCACAGATGGGGCTGAGCACCCCGACCTAAAAGGAGGAGATATGTCACCCTGCCAGTCCTGCCTGAGGACAGTTTCTAGACCTGCTGTCCACAGGCAGCCTGGGGAAGCTCTAATGCAATGCAAATCCCAGGGCGAAGGTCCCCAGTTGCCTCCTCATCGCCCTAAATAGCGTTTGCTTTCCTGTTTTGTGTACAGAGTGCATGCCTGTGTGTTCTTGCACCACTGCGGCCAGCCCAAACAACAGTGCTCAGCTCTGAAAGTTTACCTTCTTTTTCCCCTGTGAAGCCAGATGAGTGCAACTCACCCCCTTCACCCTCTTTTTGAGTTCATCTACCTGAAAGGCTGCATTTGGAGGGCACACCTGTAATTACAGCCATGTCCTTACCTTGCCGGATTTCTTCAGTGCTGGTGAGTTTGAGCTCCTCTGCCATGTCCCAGTCCTCAAGGCCATGTTGTAAGTGCAGGCTTTCCCAAAATGCCTTGTTTTGGAAACTCAAGTCCATTTTCTTTGGGTGCCAAAGGTACCTTTGGGTGCCGAGGGCAGCAGGACCTGCGAGGGGGGCACAAAGGATCCCCTGAGCTTAAAGTGCTCTGGGAGCTGGCTCAGCGTCACACATGTTTTTAAAAGGGTATCACACAGGTGGGTGAAGGGCTGGTCTCTGTTTCACACTTCTAAATACCTATTAGAGCCCATCCTAGGGAGGCAATGCCCATACTGGCAGAACAAGGGAGCTGATTGAGAGTGGGATAGGTCACACCACACAGGCTGTTTTCTGCCCATTTACTTTGCTAGAGCCTCGATAGATCAGCCACTGCTGTTCTCACTGGGCTGGCATTTCATTTCTTTCTGCCTCTGATGGTAAGATCACAGCCTTACCTACACTCTGCAATGAACTTACCTGGTCTGAGAACATCAATGTCTCTGGAAGCAGGACGGATCTCTGAGGGATGCACAGAGTGCTCAGGTACCAGGAGCTCCCTCACCCTGCTTGCCTGGGAGTAGTGGGGTTTAAGACTGGAAAGTGCTGTAGGTCATCCCAGGCAAAACACCAAGGGGGGGACCACAGTTGAGCAAAGGAGCCAGGCTGAGTAGAGCCTGGGTGTGCTTTCAGTCTCTTAGAAACTTTGTGTGCGCTTTCCTGAATTGCTTTTCTGTCTTCAGCCACATCTTTCACACACAGCCCCTGCCTAATCTGTCCTAGGGCTGATGAAGGAAGCGATGTAGTTTGTGCTAGTAAAGGGTACTTGTCACACATCCTCATCCATCTGGCCCACTCACTGTCACTCCTCTGCTGGGGAGGGGATGCGGGAGGCAGGTGGCACTGGTGGAAACGGAGTAGCTACACACCAAAATCCAAGCTTGGCTTTGTACCAACAGGCAATTAGATTTCAGACTCTCTACATATGTTGACCATTTTGCAGGAGGACACAGGTTATGCTGGTAGCGGAGGAGTACAGCAGGGACTTGCAGGGGGTTGAACAGAAAGAGGCAATGCTGGCAATTGCTGGCAAAGGTTGTGCCATAACATTAGTGTTACGATGTTGGGAGAATCCCAGCTTTAGAAGTGAATTCCCTGACCCTTGCACTAGAGGTTTGTCTTGGAGTTGTTTGGGTTATTTCTGTGTAATGAAAGAAAAGGGGAGATGCTTCCTCCTGCTGCAGGCTTGCTCTGCAGTGCTTTGGGCCAGATGTCCCTGCCCGTTTGCTGTCACTATTCTCAGCCTTTGAGTGTTTACATCTTTTGGGACAGGCTGTTAAAAAATGAGTCAAACAGTAAACCAAGCTTTTCTGGACAAGGTAACCTTCAAAGGGCAGCGGGAAACCTGGCACACTCGGGTTTGCCTCCTCAGTAAAAGCAGCTATGGTAGTTTGTGTTGCACTGAGGTTTGCTTAGTCCTTGTTAGGCATTCCATGATTATCAATCAGGTCAGTGTGGCGTGGCTTTTGTGAGATGCAGAAGGCTCTCGTCACACTGCTTTTCCCACCCTCGTGTGACAAAGTTCAGGTGTTTGCAGAGACACCTGCGTGCTCCCTCTGGGTCAGATGGCTCAGGTGTGAGCGGGACACACTTGCTGGCTTGCTTTCCTCAAAACCCCAGGCCAAACCCATTCTCCTTCCTGAAACTGGAGCCTGCTGTTTGACTTGGGATGTGTTGCAAACAATCCAGCTACTGCAGTTTAATAATTTACCACGTATCACTGGACATGTCACATCACGAAGTTGCTTTCCCCTTTCTGTCTGGAGCTAAACTCTCACACAGTGGTGTATGTATCAGCTGAGGCAGAGTAATTCATTAAGCCTGTGGTTATCTGTGTGCACCCTGAATTGATGCCTCACCTACCCACGTAACCTTTGGTACTTTGACAGTAAATGCACACAAGAGTGCTGGGCTGGGCGCAGCGATGTCCATCATCTTGGAACAACGTGAGTATTTTGGGGGGACTGAAGAGGTCCTGCGAAAGCTGGATCTCACACGCAGGTGAAGCGTCTTGCCCTGCTTTCTCTTCAGCCAGTGTGGCTTTGGGAGAGCAAGCAGGGCAGCACGCTGATGTGAATAAAAGGCAGAAGGATATCTGGGGCTGGAGCCTGTCCGTGGGAAGGACACCGTTCCCTGTGCTGCTCTGCAGGAGCTGCCGGGGGACAAGCAGGACGTGCGGCTTGGCCACAAGAGGCCGTGTGAGCTGGTGTTTTGCACATTGGTTTCACCTGTAGCTGCTCTGGAGTTAGGTGCGGGCTCCCCAGCAAAAGCTCCCGCAGAGCAATAAAGGAGATGAGAAACAGCTGCAGGCAGCAGTTATAAGATCTTCCTTTCCTCCGTCCTCCCTCAGTTTTCAGTGTCCTCAGTGAAGGCTGCAGCTCTCTGTGGAGCTGGTAAGTAAAGCCAGGGGTAGGGCATAACATAACACAACACAGAGCTCTGCTCTGAGCAGTTGTACTCGCACCCTCCCGAAATGAGGTGTGAAAAGAGCCTGCTGATATTTCCTGCCTGGGCTGCAGGGAGGGAAAGCGTTGCCCGTGTACTCATGTTTACTTCTCACTGGTAAAGATTTGAGGTGCTGCTGTAATGCAAACAGGGAAGGGAGCCCTGTGATCTGCAATGGCGCTGGCAAAACTGGGAACAGAGGTGCTGGTTTCCAGCTTAAAGCATAAGAATGTTTTAGATATATGCAGTTGCAAGCACAGACCTTTCCCTTAAGTCCAGGGAAAGGCTAAAAGGCCTTGATTTTGCCTTTGGCCATTCAGTTGCTGAATCCCAATCCCATCAGTTTGTATACTGTAGATTCTGTGTGGAAGCATCATAACCCCTGATCTCTGCTTTCCCAGGAAGGGGGATCTTAATCAGACTGATTGAGTCAACTTGTGGCAAACAAAACCTAAGACAGCCGATTCCTTGTGCCACGCAGAAGCTCATGTTTGTATTCTAAAGCTGTCTCATTTTTGGTCCCTCCAGCTTCAGAAGGTGAGACAGAATTTAGAAGAGAACCTGCTGACATGTGCAGAAGGCCAAAGACGCCAGCATCTCTATCTGCATCATGAACGGAGCTGAAAAGGTAGAGAGGTGACAAGCTGGTGGCGTCTTTGCTGGGGACATCCGGAGCCTTCAAAGCCGGCCCTTTTCAGGTGAGTGTTGTCCGCGCGGAAGCCAACTGATGGGATTTTTTTGCTGAAAACCAGTCTCACCTACTCTCACACGCCTTGTAGCCAGCAGAACTACAGGGAAGCTTTGTCAGGATGAGGGTCGGGGTCAGGAGACAGTTCTCTTTCCTTGTTGATTCCCATCTTCTGGTGCTTTAGATTAAGACTTGTTTGCAAATCAAGAGAAGAGACATTTCAGATTCCAGGTGTAACTGCGAGTGTGCTCGATTGCTTCTTGTGCTGTCTGACTTCTGCACATGCATGTGACGTGTAGGTATGTGTCTTTGGCCAGGCTGGCTTCATGTGAATGTGCTGCCTTCTGCAAGCCAGAGAAACTGGATTAGCTCCCTCCTCTGAAAGATGTTGGATGAAAGCTCACTCTCTCCCCTAAAGATAGGGGAGGTCTGTGACTTCACTTCCAACTCAGGGTTCTTATTGGAGTCTGACTTGAATGGCTTTTGTATTCCACAGCCCCTGAAAGCTTTGAATGTGTACAGAGGGGCATCTGCTTGTCCTTGGTGATATGAAGGTATTGCTGTTGCCTTGGCTTTGCCCAGCTGATGATGTTTCTATAGAGGGAAGCTCAGTGGACTTGGTGCAAACTCTGGGCTTGTGGATGCTGGTTGTGCCAATCAACTGTGGGGGTTGTGTGCATGTGTGTGTACATATATATATGTGTGTGTGTGTATGTATATTTTCCCCTGTGGTAGAACAGAGATTAATTTCCAGTTAAATAATTGGTAGTTTTCCCCATCTTCCTAGCACAGGATGTACATTAGGTGCTTGGCTTGTCCTGGCACAGCATCACTCCTGCTGTGTTGGTGTTGCTTCAGTTCCCGGTGCTGCAGCAAGTGGCTGATGCTATGGCTGTAATAGAAAAAGCTCCCAGGATACGCATGGGCTGGGATTAAAAACGGTCCTTTCTGTTACAGGGAGGCAGTGGCGACAATATGGGTGGGCAAGGGGAGAGGGAATGTGAGGCAGAGAGAGATGGTTACAACACTGGCACTGGAGCAGGGGCAGTGGCAGAGTACCTGCTTAATCCTGCAGACGCCTGATGTGTCTCTGTTGGTACCGTAGGTAGATGCTGCTGCTGTTGTAGCTGTTTGTAGACTACAAACAGCTACGTAAGAACTCAACAGCTGTACTTGATGAGCATCGCAGCCTTCTTTATCAGCTGTATTCTAGTCTCTCTGAACAGATACGCTATTTTTTGGTGGGGGAAAGGCAGCCTCTTACCCCCCACGTGCTCCGAGCCTGTGAAGTTGCAGTTAAAGAGCTGAACTCAGGTCTCTGCCCCTCCTCCCTGATTTTAAAACCCACTTCAAAGGTGAGCTGGCGGACGATTGAAGCGACCGGTTCTGCCAGGCTCGCCGCCGCTCACCTTTTGCGCCGCTCCCCCGCAGAACAAAGCGCAGCGCTTCCCTTTGATTTCCCCCTTTGAAAGCCAGAGGGGACAGAGGCTGAAACGCTCCGCAACTTTTTTGGTGACTGCTCCTGTACCTTCCTGAAGTGCTGGAGGCATCAGGACAGGGCTCCAGGGAGGAGACCTCGCTCGCAGCTCAATTAGCTGTTGGCAGAGGCTGGCTGATGGGATGCTCCCTCCTCCTGGCTGTCACAGCCAGTTTGGAGGGCAAGGTCATGCATGCAGCAAGGGCAGAAAGTTGGCACAGAGCGTCTCGGAGTCAGTGGCTTGGACTGATGCACACGGGGGTCTCGGAGGCCAGCGCCACCTCCCGCCCCGCTGCTGCCTGAGGGAGGGCTCTGCCCCGCTCTCCGTTCTGTGTGCTCTGTGCCGAGAAGAGGTGGCACACGGGGCGCACGTGTTGCAGCCTCCGGGGAGGGGGGAGAGGAAAATTAGCGAGTAGTGTCCTGCAGCCAGTGCCCAAGGCATGCTCTGCTCACCGGCACTGCAAGGGACGCTTCTTGGCACAAGCACCCACCAGGGCAGGATGGAGGGCAGGGTACAAGAGCAGGGCTTCTCTTTGTGATGTGAGTTTCCAGGCTCCTTCTGTGCCTTCATGGCTGGGGATGTTTGCAAAGCGTTAACACGTAAGACTATCATTTGCAAGCAGGCAAACGACACCTCACAGGCCATCCCTGCAGGGTGTAAAGGTGGCGAAGACCACCTAGTACTGAATCAACAACCCCACCTAAGTGTGCAGAGCTCTCTTATGAAAATGCCAACTGAGCTTGTCTCCACTCGGCTCATGAGGTGACAGGACTGTGGCTTGCAGCAGTGCAGCTGCATGGCCAGCACATGCAGTGTGTAGTGGGAAGTGATGCATGTCATGGCTGCGGTGTCGGGAGCAGTGGGATGCTGACTCGGTGCGGGAAGGAGCGGTAATAAAGCAGTAGGAATTGGTCAGGTTGAAGGAAGTACCAGATGACAGACTTGGGCTATAGTTTATAAATCTGATCTCTCTCTGTAATTCTGGTGAGACTCCTCGTGTTTTATGGCCTTCGTCACTTGTGTACACGTTGCAGAGCTGCAGAATCGAGAGGAAACCTCCTGCTGCTGGTGGTTCTGAGCCAGGCTGGGTACCTGTACATGGCTTCTTAGGGGACAGTGCTGAAAACCTAAATACATCAGTGTGTTTGTGTGTGTTCAGTACTCAGCCCTGGGTGCAAGAATTGCTGATGCTGGAATCATATTCAGCTGCTTATAGCGACCCATGTATGAGGGCATGTGCCTTTGCATAAGATCACTCTGTGGTTCAGCCTCGCTCATCCTGCTGGCGGAGAATCACTGCGATGAGGAGGACCGAGCCATGGAATATTTAGCCTAAAAACCCAAACCTTTTCATTTCACTGTGGGTGAAACAGGGATGTTGTATCTTTAAGGCACCCCCTCCTCATTCCCCGAATACCTCAAGGCCTCGGAGTGATTCTGGAGGAGAGGATCAGTGCAGGAGTTTAAGGCATCCTTCCCTGCCCTGCTGCACTGCTCACTTACTGCTCCGAAGGCTGTGCTTTGCCGTTGCTGTGGAAACCATTAGTTGCTAAGCAACTGGAGCATCATCTGCGCTGAGCCCTCGCATCTAATTATCCCATCACAGTGGCTGAGAGGGGCTGGGGGGGGATTAACTCCTCTACCGTGGCAGATCCATTGACAACACTCTAGTCACATTTAAAGAGACATCGTCTCCTTTCTGCCACGCTCGGCCATGCTCTCTTGCTCACGCAGCTACTTGGTTTTCCTGCATCGTTGGTCTATTAGAAGGGATGTGGGTTTCTGCGAGCAGCAGAGATGTCCCCTGTGCTCGTGGTGCGCTTGCTGCCCATGCACGGAGCTCTGCTGGGAGCTCTTGCTGTCCAAGTCATACGTGCTGCCTGTAGCTCCATGTTTGGATCATGCAGTCCTTGCTTTGAGGACTCTGGGCCATGCTTTAAGTCCTTCATATATCTCCTTTGTGTTGCAATCGCTTCAATGCTGCCCTTATGTTACTGTCTCTGTCCCAAGAGCCTGATGTCATGTCTGCTCTGTGAAGTAGTGATAATTCTTCAGAGCTCCGCCATGGGAGAGGTGGGCAGCTGCCTGTCTTCAATCCGTCTGCAGGCTAAAGCAAACACTGTGTAGCTTCATACTCAGTGTCACCTTACCGTGTGCTGTGGGGAGGGCTGGGGACTCTTTGAGGAGCTCTGGAAGTCTGAGGTGTGAAGTAAACACTAAGGAAAGTGTCACTCCTGGACCTCTGTGAGTGGCCAAAGCCGCCCCTGACTGGTGAATTTTGCACGTTTGGATAAAATAGTAGGTCTGAGAGCTGATTCTGGTCTTGAGTTTGCAAATCCAAGGTCAAGTTCTGCAGTTGTCTCCCTGCAGTGACAGATTGCATCTGAATGAGGTTCCCAGACTTGTGAGGACAGTGGCAGCAGTTTGTTGTCTTTAGACCTGAGCTTCATGAAAGCCTGACTGCACAAAGGTCCACGCTTGAGTAAATGATACCGGCTCCTCACCTGCTCCTGGCCGGCTGGATATGGAAGAATTCCTCAGTTTTCACCAGGAAATGGATGCTTTGTGATTTACTGAGGTGATTTCCACGTGGTGGATCCATGTGAATGGGGTGGTTGGTTAAAAAGTTTTCCCTTTTTTTTACCACATAGGTCTCTGAACCAACTGTTACTGCCCAGCTTCCTACCAGTGTTTGCTGCACCTTTGATAGGTAGTGAGATAGAGCTGGTTCAACAGGAGGGTGGTGCATCCTGACCTTTGAAAGCAAGAGAATTCCTAATACCTCCCCAAATGGCCTTTGTTTCTCTGTTCAGCCTTGAATTGCATGGTCTTCCGGTGCAGCCAAAGCCTGCAGGCACTCTGCAGCCCTGGCAATATGTTGTGCCAACCTGTTAGCAGTGCTTCTACCCCTCTCCGTTGGCACAGGACCGAGGCTTGTGGCTCTCCAAGGAATGAGTGATCGGGGCTAGGTGTGGGGTGGAGTAGCTTGGGAAGATGGAGCAGGTGCCTCCACCTTGCTCTCCAGGTAGATGAATGATGATGATGATGATTATTAGAGCTCTTGTAATGATCTTGGGGAGGGGCATGTGGAGGAGAGAGACATATTTTGTCATGAAAATGGGAAATGTAATTAAAGGCCACATGTTAATTAAGAGCTGGAGGGGAGAAATAGATGGATTTCTGCCTGAAGTCTCATTGGCATTGGCAGTTGGGCACTTTGCATAATGCTAATAGGCAAGGAGGAAAAGCAGGGAAGATGCAAGTATTGTGTGGCAGCTTCTGCGGCGTGGAGCGGAAAGTTACTGTACTGTACTGTTACCTGTTACTGTAAAGGAGAAGTTTTGTTCTCCCCAGCCAAGGTTGGGAAACCGGAAAGAGGAACAGTATCCACAACCTGTTGTGTTCGGTTCTTTGGGGTAAATTGGCTGTGTTGAGACACAGAGAGATGGTCCAGGCCTGATGACCCATGTGCGCTATTCCGTGGCCTGTCTGGGAGCCTCCCTGTTCCCTGCATGGGGATTTTCAGTCCCTAGAGTGTCAGACCAGTGCACTCCATCGTCTTAAAAGAAGCAGGTGTGACAGGAGCAGGAGTCATGGAGATGACAGCTCTGCTGCTCTGACAGGCTGGTGGATGCTGGGGCAGTTGTAATGGGAGGATCTCCTAGCTTTGGCTCTTGGGCTCTTTTGCCATATAAGACAGATGTGCAGAAGAGCATTGGGAAATATCTGCCCTGATTGTAGTGGGGTATTAATGTGTTTAACATGGGAATCCTGCTCTTCAGCTGTGCCTGTACCCCATTACCATGGCTCTGGAGAAGAGAAAAGGAGCTGAAGCACTGTATGGGAGCCAGGCTGGGAAGGAATAGAGGGGGGTGAGTGTAGGGCAGTCAGATGTACGTGCTCACATGAGGGTACTGCAGAGGGTGGTGGCTGTGGTCTGTGTGAGCGTGATGCTGTCTGGGGGAGCAAGGGATGACTGCTTCTTTGCAAAAGTAGGAAGTCTGTCTGAGGCAGCTATTAAGGGGGCTGTTCAAAATGTAGTTTGCCGTGTGTTGGGGCTCACGGGGATCAGGGAAAGCAAATGTGCAAAGCCTCTGAGTCACGCAAGGTCCCAGAGTCGGGCAGGAGTAATGCAGAAGCTGCAGGAGCCATGTGCTGCATGTTAATGAGGCAGGCAGTGCACACAAAAGTGCTGTGGCTCGGCTCCGCTGCCCGTGCGCCTTCTCCCTTTGCACGTGTGGCTTCTCCGAGGAGCAGAGCAGCCCTCTGCCGGGGCAGAGCCAGGGCAGGACTTGAGGAAGACCGCCGCTGCGCTCATCCCCAGAGCACAGTGAATGGGGTTTGTAAGGTGTTCAGTGCCTGTGATGAACCCTGTCCTGGAGCGGCACATGTTAACGGCAGGCACAGTGCAGTTGGGACAAAGAAGACATCGAAGTGAGGGAGAGAATTAGGGAAGAGGATAGAAAGTCGCTGCCTAAGTGGGAATTTGGCCACGGAGCAGGCCGTGTTCCAGAAAATGTGAGGGGTTTGTAGCAGCTCGTTTGGAACACAGTGCGTGAGGCTCCTCCTGCATGGCCGGCCGGAGCATTTGCTCCCTGACCTGGAAGTGGAACTAGGGAATGCCTCTCTCGGTCCCCTGGGTTATAGCGCATCCCTGCTCTTCTGCTTCACTCGTGCACTCTTTTGCCTTTCTTTTCATTTCCTTCTGGCATCTCGAGGCCTAAAGCGTTTCCAAGAAGAACTGACGTTAGGAGAGCAGCAGCTGAGGAAGCTTGCCAAATGCTGTACGTTGGTTGACAGCTCCTCTCAAAACCAGATGGTTACTAATTAAAGGGAGTCAAGTGAGGAGGCTGCATTGGCCTTTCTGTTTTCTTTTTTTGTTGGCTTTTTTTTCACTTCCTCTGAGGAAAAGATTTCATGACCTTGGAGGAAGATCATCTTCCTCTGTTTGCAGGGATGGCCTCTTCCAGTGCTCGCAGTTTGTGGTGATCCTGGGCGCAGGTTCCTTCTGAAGCAGCAGGCTGTTTGCTCTGGCCCAAGGTAGCTGCCATGGGAGGCAGGACAGAAATGTGGTTGTAAAAAGAAAACACAAAGGGGGAGAGGAGTTTGGAGCCCTTCTTGCAGATCTTCTGCGGGACCTTTCCTTGAAGCCTTATGTTGTCAGTAGAGATGATCCTGACATTGTCGTGCCACCCTTTCACCGAGTCTTGCCTGCCTTGGGGCTCTTCTCCGTGTTCCTCAGCCTGCTGCACCTTTCACGCAGAGGGGTACTTTGAACATGGCCTCTCTTGGGTCATCCGTGTGCATGTGGGCTGCTCCATGTGGCTTTTCCCTGTGGTACTGGGAGCTGGATGGCTGGGAACGAAGGGCAAGCACAGCTTGTTTCTCTGTTTTCAAGAACATTTGGTTTCTAGAGCCAATCTTAACAGATGCCCTGTCAGTGCTTAGCGGTTCAACCTCATGTGGAAGAACTGTGTCTGAGGGAGAATGGATTGGCAGTATCAAACACCTCCCCCTCAAATTCATGTCCAAGAAAAGTGTAGCAGCTTTGTCTCAATTAAATTCCAGAGCTTTGGTCCTGCACAGGCTCCCATTCCTGAAATCTTGCTCCTTCCTCCTACTGGCATCAGTGCTGCGTGGCTGGATTTTGGGGGACTTGAACCAGGATGTCCAGTCCGTCCTTCCCCATAGGATTGCTGGTAGAAGCACGCTCAGGTACTGTACCCCTCAGAGCTCGGGGTCAGCTTAGCCCTGCTCTGGGCAGTCCTGCCTCCTGCTGTTCAGTCCATTTCCTTTCTGCCCTCTACGCGTGCTCTGGAGACACAAGTGCTCCTTTTATGCCAGACTCAGAGACCCCTGGAGAGGACACGCTCTACATATTGCCAAGAGTCACAACAGGGATCTCCAACCTTGCTCTCCTTTTGCGCAGAGGAAGCTCTATGGAGTGCCTGAATCAAAGGGCGTCTATAGGCGTTGGACAAATGCAGTCCAGCCCCCCCCCCCGAGATGCCTTTGCTGGTTCCACTTGGATGTTGTGCCTTCCTTGAAACCTGGCCTCCAGTTGTGAGTGACTGTCTAGTAACATCTTGTATTTTGGGGACAGAGCAGCGTTCTGACAGAGGATTACTGGGGACTGACAGGGCTGTCCCTCTACCCTTGGGGGGCTTCTCGGTGGGCTCCTGGGCACTGCAGAGTGCTGATCTGGAGTCCGGCCTTTTGTGTCCCTGACAGCACAGCACTAATCCACATCTGCATGATGCTGCTGAAGCATCTTCTCCCTGTCATGAAATATTCATGCTCTTCTCCAAAAGGGCTCCAGCAGCAAATCCGTGTGTCCCTCCTGTGCCACCCCCCCTCCGCAAGTAGGCAATCTGTGCTGCAGAGAGGGCGGCTGTGGGCTCTACTGGGAGGTCAAGCCAGATCCAGGCAGCTGATCTCTGTCTTTGAGGAAATAAAACAGAGCAGAAAAGAAGCAGCAAAACCCCAGGAGGTGCTTTTGAGACTTAACCCTTTCCAGGCTGGGAAGCACCAGCAGGGAGAGTGTGCAGCGAGCAGCCTGAGCGGTGCAGGGAGGGCCAGATCTGGAGAGCAGCCAAGGTGCTGCAGTCCTTTCTCAGGCTGGGGAGGTTGTTCCTAAGCCTGGGAACCCTGCTGGAACAGGCTCTGCTGCTGTTGGATGTGCTGCTTTAAATCCATCGGATGCGAGTTGCTGTGCTTCTCCTGGCTTTATTGAAAGCCGCCTTGATTTCATTGTATGCGCGAGTCCTTGCTAGAATGTCACGGAGGAGTGCTCAGTTTCCCCTGTGGGTGGAGGAGCATAAATCTTGGGTCTCATGAGTTACTTCTCTTTGATTTTTTAATTTTTTTTTATTTTTTTTTTTTTTGCTGTTCAGGGCATTTTTGAGCCTCCTCCTCGTTTACTGTTATGATGTCAGGCAGTGAAAGTAATATATTGCATCGATTACAGGGGGACTGCTCCTCTGAGGGGAAAGTTTCTGGGCTGGGGGGTGGTGGTAGGACTCCCTCCTTGAGCCCTGGTGCTGTGGGGCTCTCGCCCCATGGGGTGACGGTGGTGCAGAGCGAAGGGGGCTCTCTGGGCAGGAGCTGAGGTGTGGAGGGGACGCGGTGCTCAGGCACACA